TAGCGCCATTCTGAGGGACCGAGGGCAATCCCGGTGGAAAAGCAGAACGCGAGAGGGGCGGGTGAAACTCCTGATCACTGTAAGGGGCGAGAGGAAGTCACTGATAAATGACATGATTCCAGCGAGGTCCCCAAACGGTAAAATTGCCAAAAAGATGCGGGACCATGGAAAAACAAAGCAAAGCAAAGCAAAGCAAAGCAGTGCCGAACAGCGCAGAAAAATGCAAGGCAGCAATGCAGAGCAACATAAAGCAAGAAGGAGCGAAGCAAATCAGTGCAAGGCATCGATAACACAAGTGCATGCGTATCAGTGCGCAAAGCAGAGCCGAGCCACGCAAAACAACGCAGAGCAAAGCGATGCGAAGCAGTGGCGAACATCGACAAGCAGCGAAGAGCAAGGCAGAGCGGCGCGGGGTACACGTAGCGCAGGGAAGGGCACCACTCGGGAGCGGCCAAGAGGGGGGTGTCCAAGAGGGGGGGGGTGCAAATCATGGCCGGCGGCATGTGCGCGGCCCGGGGGGGGGGGGGGCCAGGGACGTAATGAAATAATAAGGGGCGCCATGAAATCTGGGGGGAAATATCATGGCCCCCGCCATGATATCCACCCCCCCCTAGTCATCACCCCCCTCTTTTCCGCCCCCGAACCACAGCGCAGAGCCGTGCAGGGCATCACAGACGGCGCCGGGCGGCGCAGAGCGCAGAGCGCAGAGCGGTGCAGAGCGAGGCGGAGAGCAATGCAGAGCACGGGGGCGGCGACGAGGCAGGGCACCACAGCGCAGAGCAGGGAAGGGCAACGCCCGAGCAGGGAAGGGCACCACAGCGCAGAGCCGTGCAGGGCATCACAGGCGGCGCCGGGCAGCGCAGAGCGCAGCGCGCAGAGCAGAGCGGTGCGCAGGCCGAGGCGGAGAGCAGTGCAGAGCGCACGGGGGCGGCGACGAGGCGCCGCGCGGGCGGGCAGGGGGCCGGGCCCCTGTGGAGGCACGCGCGGCGGCGGTGGCGCCCGCGGAGCGGGGAGGGGAAGCCCTGAAGGGGCCCTGGGACACACAAAGAAATACACACAAATCAAAAGAATCCCCGTATTTTCCCGTATTTTCTGGGTTTTTGTCTTCCCACCCACTTCCCATAGTTTCCCATATTTTCTAAGGAATCGACGATTCCCATATTTTCTTGGGAGGGGAAGCCCTGAAGGGGCGGGCCCTGGGACACACAAATAAATACACAAATAAAAAGAATCCCCGTATTCTCCTATATTTTGGGGGCTTCTGTCTTCCCCCCCACTTCCCATATTTTCCTATATTTTGCCGGGGAGTCGACGAACACTTGTGTCTGTGTGTTTCTTTCCCTCCTGAAACCCTTGCAGTCGGGCCTGACCGGACAGGACACGCGAGGGGAAGCGAGACCCTTCCGAGTGCCACACCGCCACGGGAACGCAGGAGGCATGGGTCGCGAGGCAGAGGCCACAAGGGTACCCTTGAGCTGGCAGGACCGACCTGCCAATCAAGACCGCCTGTAGTGCCAGCACTCAGTGCCAGCATTGCGAAGGAAACATGTGAGGCAGACAGAACAGACAGAGAAAAGAGAGAGGAGGGAAGAGAGAAGGAGAGAGGAGGGAGGAGAGAAGCAAGCTGGGTGCACTCAAGCCGCGTCCGGCATCATACCCCCCTCCCATCCGTCCCTTCTTACTGCGCGCAACACCTAGATGTTCGCCGAGCTGAGCTTCCGATCAAGCCTCGGTCCCTGGATGGGCTTTGCAGCGCCTGGCCCGTCGTCGGCGGCACGAGCGGCGGCGCGGCACCGCGGGGCCGGGCATCGCGCAGGGAGGTCGGGCGCCGTCTGGGTGGAGAGCAGGCGCGAACAGCCGAACAGCGACGCGCAAGAAACAGGAACCGAAGGGGGGGAGGAGGAAGGGGAGGGAGGAGGAGGAAGGAGAGAGAGGAGGAGGAGGAGGAGGAAGGGAGGAGAGGAGAATCGGGAGGACAAGGCGCAAAAAGAGGAAGGATGGCGAAAATGATAGCGAGGGATTGGAAAAGGACGGGAAGGGAAGGGAGCAGGATAGTGAGAGGAAAAACGGGAAGACAAGGATTGCATGCACGAGCAAGAAAACATGAGCAGGAAGTCAGCCGACCGTAGTGGGATGTCTAGGCGTGTGAGATTAATAACCCCCTACTCCCCCCAAAACAGTATCCGAAATCGCGCGTTTGAGCTTCTGGGGACCATTTGCATTGGCGCCCCATGCAAATGGCCGTTGGAACGGGCCGACCCCCAGTGAGCTCCTGGGGGCCCCCATTTGCATGCGCGCCCCATGCAAATAGCCGCATGGCAACGCGGAAGGGCCGACACCCCCAGGACGACCCCCAGGCGAACTCCTAGGGGGTTCGCGCCGATTTTCATGGGCGCCCCATGCAAACAGCCCCTGGACGACCCCTGGACTCCACGCGCTCCTCAAATCCTTGATTGTCATGCAGTTTTTGAAAGATGTCAGCGTTCTCGCTTTGTTCTACTCTCTGAGGCTCATAACGGCCCAAGCAGCCTCCAAAATGGCCCCGAGACGGCCCAAGAAGCGCCCTTCGGGACGACTGAAGGGGCCCCGAGTGGAAGGAGACATACGAATTCTCATCCCCATCGGCACGAGGGCTGTCTGATCTCTATCGCGGGGCGCCCTCACACCTCGCGGCGAACATCTGGACGACTGCTGTCAGCTGTGGCCAAAAATATGATTTTCATGATGGTTGAATACATGAGGTGACGCTCTGACCGAGATGAAATGCCAAATTCCGTGATTAGTCTTGGGCTCCGCTCAGAGTCATCAGAAGGCGACAGTCATAAGAGACAGGCCAGCAGTTCGAGCTCGAGCCGACTGGGCCATGGGCCAGAGCTGGACCAGAAGCAGCCCGATCGGCCCCATCGGGAGGAGCGCGATATGCGAAATTTCTGCATTGAAATCCGGGTGCGAAGACCTATGCGCGGGAGGAGCGGCTGCAGGAAGGCACGTCGTCGGGGGAGACGGGTGAGTAGTACTCATGACGAGAACTTGGTAGGAGAGAGGGGAGAGACCAGGCGGCGGGAGGAGCGGCAGCAGCAGCGGCGGCAGCGGGAGAAGGGAGAGGGGGAGGAGGGCGAGCTGGGCGCGCTCACGCCTCGTGGGGAGGGGGAGGGGGGGAGGGGAAAGGCAGATGACAAGGAGGAGGAAGAGGAAGAGAGGGGAGGAGAGGGGGCGGCGAAAGGCAGATGATAACGAGGAGGAGGAGGAGGAGGAGGAGGAGGAGGAGGAGGAGGAGGAGAGGAGGAGGAGGAGAGGAGGAGGAGAGGAGGAGGAGGAGGAGGAGGAGGAGGGAGAGGAGGACGAGGGAGGAGGGAGGAGGGAGGAGAAGAAGGAGGACGAGGAAGAAGAGGACGAGGAGGAGGAGGAGGAGGAGGAGGAGGAGGAGGAGGAGGAGGGAGGAGGAGGAGGAGGAGGAGGGGGGCGAGAGGAGAAGGATAAGGAGAAGGACGAAGATATTCATGAGGCGATTAGGGGAAAGAGGGAGGAAGAGAAAGGTTGTGACGAGCTAGGTGCGGTCGCGCCTCATCTGACATCCTGTCCCTCCCTCCCATCCCTTCCTATGGCGCTGATTTCCCATTCTCCACGGACGCGTGTCATGGCCGAGCTGGGACTCCCACAGAAAGACCACTTCGTGGCATGCACAATCGGCAAAAGGGGAGCTGCGTGCAGAATCGAATTGACGAGTCGGATCGGCGATCGAAATTAATCGGATCGGCGGAGATCGGCAGCCGGGTCGGGACAAGCCGAATCGGCGGAAATCGCCAGGCTGGCCATGCCTCCAGCGACAACTCGGAACCCACGTCGGAACCCCAAGTCGAACCGGATCGGCATCGGAGGCCAACGAAGTCGAATCGACCCGAATCGGAGGAACGGAAAGGAGCCCTGGAGGGGGGACGCGGAGGCGGAGGCTGGCAGAGGGGAACCAGTGCACCCCCTAGAGTTAACAGGCGCAGAACGGCATAAAATAAACTTTTTCGCTGTCGGGGGCGCCTGTCCCTGGGCGGCTGTCCCGGTATAAACTTTCCAGCCGCCCAGGGACAGGCGCCCCCGACAGCGAAAAAGTTTATTTTATACCGTTCTTCGCTCGCTGATAGAGGCCTGGCGGCGGAGGCGGCGGCGGAGGCGGCGGGCCGGAGGGCGCAGCGCGGGCCGCCTGGCCCGCGACCAGCGTGGCGGCACACGTGCTGGGCAGGGCCGTCCCGCCTGGCCGCCGCTCACGGAGGGTGCATGGGAGCCCAGGGGCACGCAGGCGGGTAGACGCAGATCCCAGGATCCCCCCTGGCCTCCACGTGCTCTGGATGTTCGTGTCTTCCTTTCCACCCCCCCTCCCATACTTTCCAGATTCCCCTGGGAATCGAAGGCTAGTTGCGCCTGTGTGCATGCGTGTTTTCCTCCTGGCAGCGGGGGGGGGGAGCGGCGGCTTCGGCGCTGCTGTCGTCGCGTGGCCCTCGGCGACAGGCCCTCGGCGCCGAGGCTGGAGCCGCCTCCTGCGGCCGCACCCAGGTCAGGAGAACAGCCTTCAAGAACCATGGGACCCTCTGCTGGCCCAAACCGAAGAACATTCGAGGGTGCCCCACCCCACCCCCCCAGGATACACAAGAGCATCCAACAAGCACGAAGAACATTCGAGGGTGCCCTCCCCCAGGTTGCACAAGAACATCCAACAAGCATGACGAACAGTCGAGGGTACCCTCCCCGAGCTGACCTCGATCTTGTACCTCGGTCCGACCGTAATCCAGGTCGGAGAGCGCCCCAGCAGAGATCGGGGGCCGATTTGAGCAGTTGCTTTTGTCGACGATCTATCTTTCACGAATGGATCGGCTGGCTTTCTGTTCTCGTGCAGCAGCCCCGACAAAGCGTCTCGTCTTGAGCGAGCAGGGTGCAGAGGCCGCGGAAATCTGCGCGGCGCGAGAGCCGCGCTGGGCGGGGGGGCCGTCGTCACGATCGGCGCCCCCGTGCTAAGCGGAAGTAGCAACGGGCTCCATGCGCACGCCTGGCGGCGCGGCCGGCCCGCTGCAGGTGGCTGCAGCCGGCGCCGCAGAGACAGTCTGGGCGGGCTCCACCAGCGGAACGGCGCGGGGGGCGGTCTCGATGGGCTCGACAGGCGGCGCGGCACTCTGCACGGGCTCCGTCGGCGCCGGAGGCTGAGGGACCACGTACTGCGGCGGCGCCACCGCATAAGAGGGGTCCATCATCGTCGTCGGCGCGGGGGGGGCGGAGTAGGTCTGAGCACCCACAGGCTCTGTGGGAGCGCTGGAGGCTGGCATGCCCATGTAGACTGGCGCGGCGACGCTCACGGTGACCGTCCTCTGGCTCTGGACCTCAACGGTGGTAACCTTAGGCACCTCTCTGATGACCTCCTGAACCACGATGTCGCCGGGCACGTACTTGATCACCTCCTCCACGTGCATCTCCGGCACCTCCACGATCTTCTCGACCACCTGCACCTGCGGCACGTGTACCTCCCTGACGCTCTGTGACGTCACGACCTTCCTCACCTCCCTGGGGACCTCGACGACCTCGATCTTGGGCACGTGCCTGATCACCTCCTGGACCTCGATGTGCGGCACCTCTACGATCCTCTCCTGATGGATGATCTGCGGGATCTCGACCACCTTCTCGACCTCCTGGATCTCCACCCGCTTTACCTCCCGGACAACCTCCTCGTCCTGATATACTGGAACCTGTTTGACGACCTCCACCACCTGCACATCTGGCACCTCCACCACCTTCTCCACGTACTGGACCTGGGGCACATGCACGATCTTCTCGACTGTCTTCTGCTGGTAAACGGGTACCTCCCTGATGACCTCCTGGATCTCGACCTTCGGCACCTGCCTGATGACCTCGCGCACCTGGACCTGGGGCACCTCCACGATCCTCTCCCTGTACTCCACCGCGCAGGCGCGGGACGCGTTGGTGGACAACGCGGCGGACATTCTGGCCAACAGGGCGGGCGGGCAGTGCACCAGGCTGCCTATTTATACCTTATGCCGTTGCCTCACGCCACAAACTTAGGCCAAAATGGCTACGGATCGGGGGCCCATTTGAAGGACGACGACGACAACGACGACGACGACGACGACGACGACGACGACGACGACGACGACGACGACGACGACGACGAGAGCGGCTAGGCCAACGAAGACGACAAGGACACGACAGGATAGGGCATAGGCATGGATGGCAATCAAAAACCTCTCGCGCCTTGGCACAGGGGGCAACAAGCCGAAGGACGAAGCGGAGAGGGAGAGCTGGGGAGGAGGAGAGGGAGAGAAAGAGCGGGCAGGCATGAACTGGATCGAATCGCACGGATCGGATCGTCAGCGAATCGTCATACATCGAATCGAAATCGAATTGCCACGCCTGGTTCCAGCTGGCCCCAGCCGTAACCGGTGAATCGAATCGAAACGGATTTCGAGCCCCAACCAGCGAATCGAATCGCATCGAATCGGATCGTATGCAGCCCTGGCAGGTGGTGAAGAGGCTAGAAGAAAAGGTACAGGATGGGGAGGGGGAGGAAGAAGAGGAGGGGGACGACGAGGGCAGTGGACCCCAAACAATAGGTCCTAGCATTCCACGTGAAGCTGTGGTGCAAAATACGTAGCTTGCACACTGTCGGGCGCCCAGGCCGAACAGTAGGAGCTCGACCACAAGAAACCTTCCACAAGAAACCCAGCCCCGAGACCGCAAGACGTCCATTGATGTGTGTGTATAAAACGTCCAGCTTCCAATAGCAAATCATCGAAACCCAAAAAACTCACGGCACCCTGGAGGCAAGCAGGGTGTTTCCTGGCATGTGTTTCCACAGTAGGGTACCAACCTTAGAACGCCAACCGCGAGGCACCAAGCATAAGGTCCCCGCCATCGGGCATCAACTATAGCATATCAGCCGTAGGGAACCGAGCGCGAATGGCCAGCCAAGGCTGCCAGCGCAACTCGCACAACAGGGCACACCATGGGGCGCCGACTGGGAGCGGTCAACGGCGACAGGCATAGCAAGCACAGGGCAGCAGCAAGAGAGCACCGAGCACGAATGGCCATAGAGGACACCGACCCAGAACGGCCGACTGCACCACGCAAGGCCAGTCCCTCACAGCGGGAGCAAACCAAACCTGAGGGCAAGCAAGCACTGCGTCGGGAAAGCCGCAGCCGCACTGTGGGCACCGAGTGGAGTGCCCTCCGCATTGCGGACTGCAGCATACGGGTCCAGACCCCCAATTGCCAGATTTCTCTTGGGGATCCGCGCGTGACTCTCAGGGCTTCTCACGTGACTATGTCAGAGACCACAGAACACCAACGCGGGCCAGAAGGATCTCAAGAGGCACCCAAGACCGTCCAATAGGGCCTCCAGGTGCCCCAAGAGCGCCCCGAGATGCCCAAGATGGCCTCTAGGCGGCCCATGAAGCCCCCAAGACGCCCCAAGAGGGCTGCAAAAGGCCCCCCAAGAAGGCACTGAGGACTCCGAAAGGCCAAAGCATGCATGGCCTCTAAACGGACATGGAACCCCCAAGATGCCCTCGGAGGGCCCTAAAGAGGCAAAATCCAGTATTCCTTTCATGTTTGGCGAATGTCAGTGATCTCGCCTTTTCCAGCTTCAGACCGCCTGCAAAGGCCTGAGAGGCCTGCAAGATCGTTTCAAGACGGCCCAAGAGGCCCTCAAGAGGGTCCAAGAGACTTCCAAAAGCGCCCCAAGAGGGCCCAAGACGGCCCAAGAGGCTTCCAAAAGTGCCCCAAGAGGGGGAACTCGAACTGGCCTTGGAGGCCTGATCCCAAAATGTTGCCCCTATCACCCCCGACAGCTCCCCAGAAGCACAAGAGGCCCCCGAGAAGTATCCCAAGAGATCCTGCGTGGCATCCTAGAGGCCTCTGGCCCACAGCCCAAGCACGGTGGCAAGATGGGCCGAAGGCCGTTCGACCTGGGCCGGCACGGAAATGGAAAGAGCGCCTCAGGAACTGGCCCGAGAGAGCTCACGGCACCCTTCGGTCTTGGGAGCCTTGGTGTGAAGAGCTTGTTACGTCGCCGCTCTCCGTTGGGAGCCCTGGTGTTCAGAGACTGTTACGTTGCCGCTCGCTCTTGGGAGCCGTGGTGAGACGAGCTTTGTACGTCACCGCGCTCTGGGGAGCCTTGGTCAAGAGCTTGTTACGTCACCGCTCGCTGATGGGAGCCATGGTGTTCTTGAGCGTCTCTTGGGCCTCGTCGGGGTCTTCTTGGGGCCCTTTTGGAGCCCTTCGGGAACCCTTTTTGGGGCAATTCTGGGCCGTCTTGGGGCCCTTTTGGGCCTTCTAGGGGCGTCTTGAAGCCTTTGGCCGTCTTGGGGCTCTTCTAGGCCCTCCCTCTTGGAGCTCTCTGGGGCCGTCCTAGGGTCCTCTCGGACAGTCTTTGAGCCCTTTTGGGGAATTTTGGGCCCCTCTGGGACCCTTCTTGAGGCCCTGTTGGACCGTTTTCGCGCCCTTTGGGGGCCTGTTGGGCCGTCTTCGGGCGATCTTTGGAGCCTCGTGGGCCGTTTTTAAATTTTCCTTGGCCCGAAAAAGCAAGAACCCAAAAAATCTGCATAAACTATGGAAAAATCAAGGTTGTCTGCCACTGGGGGCCTTTTCGGGGACCCTCTGGAAGGCCTCTGGAGCCGTCTTGAAGCTCTTTTGGGCCGTCCGGAGGCCATCTGAAGCTCTTTGGGGGCCGTTTCGGTGCCCTCTTGGGCCGTTTAGTTAGGGGCCCTCTCGGGCCGTCTTGGGGCCCTTGGGCCGCGCCACCCGAAACAATTCGAGGAAACGGGCCATGGGAGCCGCACGGGAGCCGCTTCGTTCGAAAAAATACAAGGGGAAACGGCCCCCCGACGGCCATTAGACGCATGCGTGCCCCCCTCGCCCCTCCCCTGGAACCCCTCCCTAGAGGCTTTCGCCCCGCACAGAAACGTCATCACTCGCACCTCGCTCTTTCCGTTACCGCTTTGACAAAGAGACGGAAAGCACAACTTACTTTGCAATAGCGCGAGATCGCTGGCTCATCCGTTCTTCCACCTCTTACGTTCGTTTTTCCCCTCGCCCTTTTTGCATCATGTGGGAGCCTTGGGGTACTGTTGGGCCGTTTTGGGAGACTCTCGGGTTGTCTTCGGGCCCTCTCGAACCGTCCGCTGGCCCTTGAAACAGATTGCAAGACGACGTTAACCCCAGGAAGCATTTAAGAAACCCCCCCGGCGATATCTTAGCACCGCATTTTTATTCGATATTCCGAGGGGCCGAAATAACCGCACGATAGGTTTAGCACCCGGACACACAACAAATTCGCGGAGGCCTGGCCCCTGGGCTACAATCGAAATTCGAAATTCAAATCTGCGTGGCTCTCATGAAAGACTCAGGATGTCGCTTGGAGGAGGAGGAGGAGGAGGAGGAGGAGGAGGAGGAGGAGGAGGAGGAGGAGGAGGAGGAGGGGGCAGGAGGAAGTTCGTGGGTGGAGGAGAGGAGGAGGAGGAGGATGAGGAGGAGGAGGGCTCCTGGTGCCAGGTAAAGCTTCCAGGGTGCGGAAGGGTTATCGATTTGCCGGAAGGGGGGGGGGGGGTTCTTAAATGCTTCCTGGGGTTGGATACATGAGTTAACCTGTTCTCGTCGGCGGCGGCGGCGGCGATAGAGCTAAACAGGGGCACCGAAAAGCGAATTGCCCAGCGTGCAGCAGAGGGAAAAGGACGGACAGAGCGACCGCGGAGGGTGGAAGAGGCGGGGCCAGTCAGAGGCGGAAGACTTCGGTCCTGAGTGCCGGGGCACCCACGGGCGATGACGGGGCCCAGCACGTGGAGGCAAGTACTGCAGTGATGCCATCGGTGAAGTAGGACTAGGTACTTGCACGTCAGGATTAGCGTCGTGTGGCCGCCCGGGTGAGTGGCTGGGTGACAGGGTACGGCAGCTCCACGAGCAGTCTAGGTTTCAGACCGCCACCAGCAAAATGCTGGGCCCGTGAGGCGGGTGCGGGCGGCAAGACCAGGCCCGGGAGCACTGCACACGGGGGGGGCTGCCCGCTGCGGCAGCAACGCGAGCGCCAAACATAAGTTGAAAAATGCGAAATCGGAGATTCGTCATTTGATTAAGGATGCCACGGCGCTGCCGTTTTAACCCGCCTGGTCGTTTTCACCCGCCTGGCCTTTTCAACCCGCCTGGGCCTTTGAACTCGCCTGGCCGTTTTCACCCGACTGCCCGCTTCAAACCGCATGGCCATTACGACCGCATGACCGGTTTCATCGGCATGGCCATTTTAACCAGCCTGGACGCGCTGACATCCTTGGCCGTTTTAACTGGCATGGTCGTTTTAACCCGCCTGGCCGTTGTAACCCGCCTGGCCGTGTTAAACCGCCTGGGCGTTTTGACTCGCCTGGCCGTTTAAATACGCTTGGCCGTTTTAACCCGCGTGATCGTTTTCCGCCTGGTCGCTTTAACCCGCCTGGTCGTCTGAACCGCCTAGCCGCGCTGACATCCTCGGCCATTTTAACTCGCCTTGCCGTTTTAAGCCGCCGAGCCGTTCTAACTCGCCTGGCCGTTTGAACCCACCTGGCCGTTTTAACACGCATGGACATTTTAACACGCCTGGCCGATGTAATCCGCCTAGCCGCTTCAACAGCCTGGCCGTTTTGACCGGCCTGGTAGTTTAGCCCGCTTGTCCGCGTCAATCCACATGGCCGTTCTAACCCGCCTGGTCCTCTCAACAGCCTGGCCGCGCTGACAGCTTCGGCCGTTTTAACCCGCCTGGCCGTTTTAACCCACTGGCCACTTTAGCCCGCCTGGCCATTTTAACCCACCTGGCCGTTGAAACCGGTCTGGCCATTTCACCCGCTTGGCCGTCTGAACACGCCTGTTCATGTTAACCGCCTGGCCGTTTTCACCCGCATAGTCGTTTGAAGCAGCCTGGCCTTTCAAACCGCCTGGCCAGCCTTGCGGGCCGTGCAGTAGT